TATTAAATGTAATGGAGAGTACTTTGAAGGTGATAAGGTTGTTTTGTAAAAAAATTTAAATACATAGCTCTGAAAGAAAAATTCCATTGGGGCGGTGGAAACTTCCTCATAAAAGCTACATTAGAATTAGGATATTACATATAGTCACCAAGAAATCCCTATAGAATCATAATCCATTTCATTAGGCAACTTTACTCTTGCTGTGCCCAAGTTTTAATTAAAATTAATCTTTAACTTAAAGATTTAATTAATATGAAATATATGGCTATAATTTTACAAGTTTCCTAGATTGGGGCATATAGTTTATTCTGAAGAACATCACATAAAAAGAAAATCTAAGAAAAGCAAAATTAAGAACTAAAATCAAAAGCATTAACTGAAAATAGGAAACTGTATGTGGTCAACACACGGCAAGTGATATATTAAAAAAACCTACAAATATACATTAGAATTAAGAGCGGCAAAATAGTGGGGAAACCCATTGTTGCTGTTAGGTGCCATCCGGTTAGTTCTGACTCATCGGGACCCTATGCACAACAGAAGGAAACACTGGCCAGGCCTGCGCCATCCTCACAATGGTTTAGGCCATTGATGCAGCCACTGTATCAGGCCATCTTGTCGAGGGCCTTCCTCTTTTTTGCTGCCTCCCTTCCTTACCAAACCTGACTTCTTTCTCTAGGGTCTGGTCTCTCCTGACAACAAGCCCAAAGTACTGCAGATGAAGTCTCACCATCCTTGCCTCTAAAGAGCATTCTAGTTATACTTCTTCCAAGACAGGTTTGTTTGTTCTTTTGGCAGTCTATGGAACTGTCAGTATCTTTCACCTGAATTATAATGTAAATACATTGATTCTTCTTGGTCTTTCTTATTCAATGTCCAACTTGAAATTGAAAATACCATTGGTTGGGTCAAGCACACCTTAGTCTTCAACATAACATCCTTGCTTTTCAATAAGCTAGAGAGGTCTTGTGCAGCAGATTTACCCAAGGGAACATGTCTTTTGAACTCCTGACTGCTGTTTATATGAGCATTGATTGTGGATCCCAAGCAAGATGAAATCTTGGACACACGATCTTTTCCTCCATTTGGTCCAGTTGTGAAGATTTTGGTCGTCTTTACATGGGGTTGTAATCCATACTAAAGGCTGCAATTCTTGATCTTCATCAACAAGTGCTTTCAGTCCCCCACACTTTCAGCAAACAAGGTTGGAGGAAACCCATCCAAATAAATATTCAAATAAACAAAATAGCATTTTTATAAATCTCTATCATTAACTTGAAAACCTAAGTGAAATGAATGACTTTTAAGAAAATACGAATGATGAAATTTTATTCATGTAGAAAACCTAAAAGGATAAAATGCTCCAAATTGAGAAGATTAACAATCGCTACCCCTAAGTTAGAGTTAAGTCCCAAACACTTTCTGTAAGAATTAATGTGAGCTTTCTTGGACCAGACAGTTCTCATGTAACTTGAACTGTTACAGAGCACAGAGAAAGAAGGAAAGCACTTCAATTATTGTAAGATGCCAACATTTACTTATACCAAAATAAGACAAGACATACCAAAAAGTATGACAGCAGTCGTGCTTAAAATAATTATTACGAAAATATTTAATTAAATAATTTAAATGAAATATTATATATGCCATTGAAAGATTCAGACAACATTGCCAAGGGGCGTTCATTCCATGATATCCACTTAACACCAAGGCCAAAGCCAAAGGATGAAAAAGAAGAAATGCTAACCCATTAAAATCAAGATGGTGACTATTGCCACTCTAGCTGAGACATAGTCAGGAAGTGCTCCCTAAGCAAGCAGGCATGAGTATGGCATCGGAGAGAGAAATGTTGCAAGGAGGGTGCAAATCTAGTTACAGAAAACATCATATGCCCGAAGACATGAAGAAAATCAGTAGACTACCTATTAGGGCATATTTGTAAGCTTCATGGAGTGGATGGTTATTTTTTTAAAAAACACACAAATGCTTCTATAAAGAAAAATATTATGAGGAAAAAGTAGAAGGGAGAAAAATATTCACCACAATCTTAAAATAACCAGGGATAAACAAAATATATAAACCTCTACAAAGTAAATTATAAAACTATAAGAAATATAAAAGATGATTTTTATAACTTGTTTAATTCCTAGATCAGGAGATTCAAATTAAAAATGTTATTCATCCAAAAGTCTAAATATTTCTTTTTATTGCAAAATGCTGAAGGATTTTTTTGAACTGTATAAAATAATTTAAACTTCTGGAAAATTAATATTAGAGAATTGGTAATGTGACTTTAAAAAAAAGTAACAAGAGGAGATAAGACCACCATATTAGAATGCAATGATAATTAAAACAATTTGATACTGATAGAAATAAATATATCAAATATAATTATAATTCAGAACTATGCCCTAAATAATTGGATTTTTTTCTAATCAATGTGGTATTTTAAAGACACAGTGTAAAAATCAATTTTTCCATGAGTAATATTAGAATTAGAAGCTAATTTTTCAAAAAAAAGAAACTAATTTTTCAAAAAAGTTGTATTGAAGTCTAATTCACATACAACAAACTGCACTCAAGAAAGTTTATAAATCTATAAGCTGTAACAAATATATAACACTCTTGAAACAACTAGCACAAATAAAATATCGAACATCTCCATCCTCCCCCAAAATTTCCTCGTATTCCAAAAGTTAGATTTTTGAAAAAGGTTAAACATTAAGCTGCATCTTTCCCACACTCTTTAAGTCAAAAATACATTTTTTGATGAAGATTTAAATGCAAACTTACAAAACTAATAAGTGAAATTAACAATGCATGTCTTTTACAATAGTGGTGATAATGAAAGTCTGTATGAAAGTGACATGAAACTCCACAAAAAGGACTGCTAAAACTGGCCAACAACCGACAACACCAAATGCTTACATTTCTGAGTAGCAAAAAATGCCGAAACCCAAATCAAAGAATCAACAGACTATAAAAAGTATTCTTAGCACACACACCCCAGCAGCACCCCTCACGGTGGGCAGATTTCAGTGGCGCTAGCAGAAGCGAACGGACTAGTAAGCCTAAGGGTCTACTTGCAAATACTTGCCAATGAAAAACATGAGTCACAACAGAACATGGTCTGAATTGTCTGCTTTGGACATGTCATCAATAGGGATCAATCACTAGAGGAGGACATGGTATTTTGCAGAAGGAGAGGACCAATGAGGCCGCAGTGAGATGGACTGGCATAGTAGCCACAGCAATGGGCTCAAGTTTACCACTGACCATCAGGATGGTACAGGATTGAACATTTCATTGCTGTACTTAAGGTCTCCATGAGTCAGTGGCAATTCAATGGCAGTTATCTCTCTACCGAAGATACAGAAAGATCTTACAGGTCAAGAAAAAGACAAGCTTTATTTTCCAATCCACAGGGAAATGAACAGGCAATTCATGGGTGGGGGTTAAAATTTAAACTAAGTGTATAAATAGTCAGAAGCACTTCTATTGTTTTGCATACATGCAAACCTCTCAAAAAAGAGCCATTTGTATACCATTTCAAAAAGCAAAAGGTGTCTGACATTTTATGGCTTGTGAAAAAAAAAAATCCAAGGCCTGGGATTTAGACAAGACACTTCAAAAATTGAGTGTAAATTCCATTGGATGTGCTTCATTATCATCTCTACACTCATCATTCTTTGTGGCAACGTTATTCTGTACAAACAGGGGTCATGTCTCAGTATTCACATAAAGTTTTATTATTTACCTGGGGGATAAAATAATGTTACAGCAAGTATATTCCTTGTTTTTAAAAGATATGTTTTTAAATCTTTTTTTTTTAATTTAAAAAAATCTTAACTCACCTTTTTAGCAGGAGAACTGGGCTTAAAGGGAGTTGTAAGTGTAGCTGGCTTCTCTACTTTTTTAATTGGTGGCAAAGGTTTATCAAGAAAATAAGGATTTGCATCAAAATATTCCCTTGGGTAAGAATTTAACTTGAAAGGCGACCCTTTAAGTAAGTGACGGTGTTCTTCATTCTCTTTCTGTAAATTAGAGAGTTTGAAATTATATAGCATACATTACGTAAGTTAGAAAGAAAGTGATCTAGACCAAATTTTTAAAATTTTAATACAGTATGTAGATTCTTTAATACATACTACTGGATTCAGTTTTTTAAAATGTCTTTGTTAGAAAGTTCTGTTTACATGATAGAAAATATGTTCCTACTTATCCTAACTGAGTACAACTATGATTCCTTTAGGATACATACACATGTATTTCAAGTATAGGGACTAATTTATCATTCAAAAAAATCTATCCGTGGATCTGGGCAACATGATAGCATAGAAAAAGATTCATTTCTAGCTCAAATCCTGGTTCCTCCCTGTTACTTAGAACTTTTCATGGATCGTAGGAAAGTTCAGGAGTCCTGGAGGATAGGGGTTCACCTATATCAGCTGTGGGGCCCAACAGCAAATGTGGTGAAGAAAGCTATGGTGCCTGGCTATCAAAAGGTATAGCGTCTGGGGTCTTAAAGGCTTGAAGGTAAACAAGTAGCCATCTAGCTCAGAAGCACCAAAGCCCACATGGAAGAGCACACCAGCCTGTGCGATCATGAGGTGTCTAAGGGATCAGGTATAAGGCATCATCAGAACAAAAAATCTTACCATAGTGAA